TTACTGAAATCTAGAAATGCTATGCCAGTGAGATTCCCTTGGTCCATTGCATGCAACCAGCTGTCAGTAAGTTTGGTTAGTGCCGTTTGGCAAGAATGGAATTCCCTAAAACCACTCTGTGAACTTGTAATGAGGTCAAAAGCTCTGGTGAATTCACGTAATTGATTAGCAACATGTTTTTCAAAAAGTTTTGATAAAGTCGGTAAGATAGAAATTGGTCTGTAGTTACTTGGATCATTTTTATCGCCCTTTTTATATATAGGGGTGACTTTAGCTTGTTTCAGATGCAAAGGAAAGATGCCATTAGTAATGCTAGCATTAATTAGATGAGCTATAGGCTTAGAAATTATATCGGCAGAAAGTCTTAAGAGGCGGGGACCAATGAAATCTATACCTGCCGATTTATTAATGTCAAGTTTGCATAGCATTGTGAAGACCTCGTCTTGTCTTATAGGAAGTAAGCTAAATACATTTTCATCACTAAGTTTTGACTTTGTGAAAATTTTTTAACTTTTCAGGTTTAAAGTTACGTTTTGGTAATTCAGTTAATAAATTGCTAGAAATTTTTGTAAAGTGTTCGTTAAACACATTGACAATACCTTGTGTATCGTTAATTTCTGATCCGTTGTCCTTAATATGAGTAGGAAAAAAACATTTTGGTTTTGAGGCTAAATGGTTGAGATAGCTCCACAGTTCTTTAGGATTAGAGCTCTCCTCAATTGCTGATTTATAATAAGTACATTTAGCATTATTAATCAAAAGCGTAACTTTATTTCTCCAATGTCGAAAATTTTCAAAGTCTTTGTGTTGATGATAGTAATCTCGTAATTGTCTAGCATCATTAATTTCTTGTGTTAACCATTTTGGACGAGACTCAGTTTTCACACGTTTAGTCTTTACCTTAGCGTGTGTATTTAGAATAGTATTAAACATATTGTAAAAGTTCGCTAAGATATCATTAGGATTGTGCAAATTCGTAAGAGCATCAAAATTGACACTATTTAAATCGGAGAGAAATTTTTCTTCATTAAAATTCTTAAAGTCGCGGTATTGAATTTCAGTGTGTTTTCCCTTACGCTGCATGCTGTTAGATCTGCGTGTAGCACAAACAGGGTAATGGTCAGACATAGCTATGGGTGGTACTTGGATTTCACAGATGAGGTCAGGTTGGGTAGTGTAGAAATGATCAATTAGGGTAGATGAGGTGTTAGTAATTCTAGTAGGTGTTGTAATTAATTGAGTTAGTCCAAATTCTTCTAGTGCAGATGTCCAGGATAGAGGGGGGTCTTTTAGCAGATCAATATTAAAGTCACCTGTAAGTATGATTTCTTGGTCATCACAGCAGGAGGCACGGTTTATCTCTCTAGCTAGGTCCTCCACCCAGCAGGTGGGTGCAGATGGTTGGCGATATGCAGAACAATAAAGGATAGGCTTTGTGTTTTTTAAATTGATTTCTAACCATATTGTCTCTACGTTACTAATTTCTAAATCCTGTCGACGCTTATAGGATAGATTATTTGAGACATAAATAACTATTCCACCACCTGCCTTATTTTGTCGATCTTTTCTTTCAAGTACATAACCATCTATATTCAAAACTGCATCACTAATTTGATCATTTAAAAAAGATTCACAAAGCCCCAACACATCCATAGATCCTTCATTTTGTAAAATTAATTTCAGTTCGTCTAATTTTGGTAGAAGATGACATACATTAAAATTTCCAAAACGCAAACGTTTTTTAACTAGACCAAAACCAGAATTTACCGCGGTATATTTATTAGATATGTTTATTGCTTTGGTTGAATTTAGACTTTCAGGGCTAGGGCTTTCGTTTATCCTCTGTTTAGAACTAGATTTTTGCTTAGTTTTGAGATAATGTATATTTTTGGCAGATGAATATTCTATTTGAGAATTTTTAAAGATACATTTACATGAATTTTTGTTACATTCTGAACATAAAGTTTCGAGAGGTAAAAAATTTTTTGCAGACTTAATGAAATACTCTCTGTATATTCGGCCAGACATTCATTGCCCCTATTCTAGTACGGACAGAACTTTTGTTTGTGGCCAGGTTCCCTACACTGCCAACAATCTACTTTGCTCCCATGTCTACAATTCCGGGATGAATGGCCTTGTTCTCCACAGAAGTAGCAACATGTATATTTCATCGATGCGGTGGGAGTCGGTACTTGATGCTGCTTCAGAATTGGGACATGCTTATTGTATAGTTTCAACAGAGAGGCAGTTCCTTGATCGGATAAATGTATACCGTCCTTCCAGTATAAAGGGGAATTCCAGGCTTTGAAAATTTGACTTGATTTGATCACTGTCGCACCATACTCTTCACACACAAAACGGATAGCTTCGTTCACATCACTGGTCAATGCATTTTTTCGAGGCATGACTTCACAAATGAAAACATTAATATTCGAATTCCTCTTCTTTAGATCCATTATTATTTCATGAAAAGTCATTTTCTACTGCTTCCATATTGCGTTTATTTGAAGCATCATTTCCTCCAGCTTGAATTATGACATTTTCTAGCGAAGACACATCGTACTGCTGTAGTTTCTTACGAATATAAGAAATACGGGCTCCTCTGTTTGTACTCACACTAACATTTGAACGTAACCCACGGGTTTTAATTCGTTGCAGAATAGAACTGCCGATCAGGAGTGTAGTTTTCTGCTGGTTTCTAGATGTGGAATTACGTTGTTTCTGGAAGAAACTGTTTCCTAGTTTCTGGTGCATAGGTTGTTGTGGTTCTGTGTTTGTGGAGCATTCTTTCATAGATACTTCTGGTATAACTTCATTACACTGTACATGTCTAGAAGTGACATTGTTAGATGCCTTTGGCAGATCATTTGTACAACTGCCTTTATGTTTGAGAACTGTACAGGTTGTCTGAGTACTTGAGCTGGTTAGACATTTATTTGCATTTTCACTCAGTTCCTTTTTTAACGACTCGATTTCCTGCGTTAAGCGATGAACAATTGATGAAAGTTCCTCTACACGTAAAGCAGAATCACAGCATCTGCTGCATTCTTTAGATTCAGTACACGGAACAGAATTCGATAGGTTCCTCCTTGGTGTAGATGCCATACGTGGCGGTGGTAGGGAAATAATGATATTTGATTCATTGATGTCACATGCGGAAACACTTATTTCCTCAATGAATTTCTCACACCACGATGATGCTGAACTCCCCTGAATATGGAGTACCGAGGTGCTTCTGTAAATTGTAGCTGTAACAGATCTACAACTAGTCTTTAAAATATGGCCATCTCCTTCAGTAGTTTTCTCGCATAACAATTCTTGTTGCAAATATGAAAAAATAATTTCATATTTTTCTTGGTCAAAGTTCACAGTAAAGCTCCTCTTATTGGCGGTGACTTTTAGAAAGCTTAGTATGTCCACATTAATATGATTGATATATCATTCACATTTTCAATTCTTTTTTTTTCTTTCTTTTTCAAGAGCTCATATTTTTTTGCAGCCAGAGTTTCTTGTCTTCTGCTCATCAACATTTGTAAACTGCTTCTCTTTTTCCTTCAAAAAGAAAGATTTTCTGAAAGTACCCATGATTGTAAAACAAGACTTTTTTGTATTTTCCTGCATTTTAGTTTCAATTAATTTTGCATCAGAGGCACTTCCAAATTAAAACATTCTGAGTGGAATTTAAGCCTATTTTCTTGGACCGCCATTTTGTAGATCAATCAGGCCTATTAATGTTTCGAATCTCAGTCTATAATTAATGTATGTTATATGATTGGATCCCAACTCAAAGCAAAGTTTGACAAAACTTTCATTTAAAAAAAGACAATAATTTATTTTACAAATAGACAGTAACATTAACAGACAGATTTCTCAGACTCAGTGATTGTCTCCATTTTTTTCACTCAGCAGTAATGAATAGATCAATCTTATATATAGTCTTCCTTCTTCATATTCTGTTATTTTCTTAAAAAGTTGACAAAGATCAGTGACTATGCAAATTATAGATCACAAATACCGATCCTTCCACTCTCCAAATTCCCACTTCCAACGTTTCGCGCGTTTTCAAGTTTGCGCCTTTTCAAAAATGTTCGGTAGAGCTAAGAAATACGCTAGTTTCGAATTTCCAAGATTTCTGTCTAAAAAAAAAAAAAACAAACAAACAAACACTATCTGAATAATTTTTCACTGAAAATACAATTTTTTATATCAAAATAAGTTTTATCAATGAAGAATTCGAATTTTTTACGTCATCAATTATACATGTATTGACTTTCAGTTTCGTATAGCAAGTATGGCGGCCCTAATGTAGATTTTCCAAAGGGTCTGGAAAAGTTTTGGAAATCCATGGGATTCCAATCATTTCCATGCATAACTCGAAAAGTGTTAGTGGAAGTTTTTGGAATATTTTGGAATTTGTAAAAAAATATTGGACTTAGACATTTTTTGGCTTGGAAAGTAGTGGAATTCTTTGGGAAAAATTGTAAAATGAGAAACTTAGCCATTTTCTGCGCTGGAAAACTGTGGATCCGAAAATTACTTAGATTTTTTTTTACTGTCGACTAGTAGTACAATAACATCGGGATCGAAGTCGGACTCGATGAACAATTAATTTTAACAACACCGAAACTCAAAAATATCGAATGCCATGTTGATGTTCCACAGAAGGAAAGTTATAATGAGTGCTACGAACAGGGGGATCATGGTCAGCTTGGGATGGAAGAAGATGACGACATTTTGAAGACCGGTAGGTACAATATTGTACAGTAATGAGTATTTTATGTGTCCTCGAACGAAGAATGTTTCTGCTACTTTTGATTAATTCGGGCACCATACATACACTGTAAAATGCCCCACGGTGAAATCGTTAGGACAAGCACTATTTCTGTAATAATTATTTAACAAATGATGAAATCTATACATATCATTAAGATCATTGATTTTCACCCGAATTTCCCTTGGAATCGAACTGATGTAAAGAATTTTACCTGTACCTTCCTTTGTTCAAGATAACATTTACAGAGAATGATGTACATGTAATTAATTATATATTTTGTAATGCATGTTCATGACCATTTTCAGCTCTTATCTTGCATGTTTCGATTGTTTTAATAGTTGCTGCATTGCCTGAGATGATTTTCACAGCCCAGGCGTTTGATAAAAGTGCATATACATGTAGATGCTTAACCAATCAGTCACTAGGCTTGTGAATATGGTGAGAACCAGCTCAAATTATCATTCAAAACAAATAAACTAACTTTGATTTTATTAATCCATGTCTTTAAGCATAAGTTTAAAAAAAATATTGCAACTATGCCAAGTAAACAATATTTAAAGATTTATATTCTTAACATGCCTAATTTCCATCATGTCCATATCCTTATTATTTATAACAATGAATTCTGAAAGGTAATCTAAACATGCTAACTGCATGGGTATGTATAATTATTTTTAGATCAAATATAATCAAAGATATCATCTTCTATGAAGTATACGTGCATTTTACAGGAATCTGGATGCTCACAAGATTTAGGACAAGAACTGTATAAAAAAAAAATGGTAAGATTTCTTCATTATTTTCTTAATCAATAAAATAACATGAATTGAAATTAATTTTTTTCAACGTTAGTCAGGCATTGAGCTTCAGCTCTAGCCTTTTTATTTAAGCTCACCTGAGCCATTCTAAGGCCTAAGTGAGTTTTTTGATCAGTGTCACAGTCTGGTCTGTTTGTCTGTTGTCTATAAACTTTTCACATTTTTACATTTATCAGAATTATTCCTAATTTGAACAAAAAATTGCAAGATAGTGAATTCATATTCTACAGTAAACTGATCTGCCAGGTAGAAAAAACCAATTGTTTTGTAGAGCTTTAGTTCATTATTTGTCATATATTTATACGGATATCAATAATGATACATCTTAAATGGTCATCTCCTCTTTCAGAAATTGTGCAAGGAAAGTTTGAAGTGTCTCTTGGAATGATCAACATCGAACTTGCTGAGCCTTCGTACTAAAAGTGAATCCGTTGGTGACGCCAATTATCTGTCAACCCTCTATTGCAAATTTCATGGGATATCTGTGAGATATGATTCTAGCAACATTTCAGAAGTTTTGTATCTTCCACAATTGGGATCTTTGGCACGTACATTGGTGGAAAATAGCAACTGTTAATTTTATGGGATCTTTGTATCAATGCAGTTGTGTAGTACATATATTTTTGCATTTAATATGTGTGTTTGTCACTCTAATCACTAACTTTGTACAGTAAATTTACATGGGCCACTGGCAGTTTATTGTAAATGTATATCCTGTTGAGGTTTCAATTACCTCTCCCAATCCTTGGCCAATGTCATTTAATGAATCTAACCTCTTATTTTAAAAAAATGCAGACTTTAGTTTACTACATACATGTATATCATAACTTGATTATCTTTGATTTAACCAAGGTGATCCCCCCAGTAATCATATTTTTTCTTGGATATTTCTGTTAATAACCTTTGATGTAAAATACTTTTAAGTTTCATTGAGAATACATACATTAAAAAAAGTGTGCTTATAATGTACATCTGAGTGGTAATACAGTACAGTACAGACAAGCGATATAATTTTTTAGTTGTTAATAAATATATAAAACGTTTTTTACGAAGCTCACAAAATTCTTTTTCCAGAATGTTTCATCTTCCAACAACTTGTTTAAAGTTTGATGTTAATGAAAATTCGGTCGAACAAAGTTGTGTGATGAAAAACGACATTATTTAAAGCACATTATGATGAATATAACTGTTTAATTTAAATTATGAAGAAACATAAGTAATTAATTTGAAAAAAAAAATGCTGCCAATGGTGATGCAGTGTTTGTTTCATTAAAATCAAATAAAAACACGCAATGTTTAGAGATTTCATGATTTATTTTTTCAGATAGTTGGTGAAAGAATGATATTAAATATAAATTATACCAGGGGCTTGTTCAACAATTGCATCTGCATGCAAAAGTTGTATTTGAGAGTGTTTTCTGTCAATCATTTTTGTCAATTATTTTAGTCTTCATGAAAATTCATGAACATTCATAATACCTTGAACTCTACATTTTTTCTGTCTTTAAAATGAAAATTACTAATATTCTTATATATTCATCATTTGTTCATGAACTACATTTTATAAATATATTCATGAATAAAGTTCATGAACCATCTTTATGAACCAGTCATGAACCATTCATGAACACATGATGAATGTTCATGAACGATTCATAAAAGTTCCTGAAATTATGAATTTCACCTCGCAGGGGATATCCGTAAAGCTGCGAAAGCAACATATCGACATTCCTCAGTCCCATTGCCTGTAGATCACAATCTTGCGCACATAAACATAAAACACCCATAGTTAATTGTAACTTGAAAAATACAAATAAACAGCAGAAACAACAGCATCTCAAATTCTTAACATGTTTAAGGTAGCAATCTATCAACAACTAAGATTTAATTTCTCATTAAGTGGGAGTGGTGGGTGGGAAACAATTATCAAAAGTGCAGAAACGCTGGGAAAGCTATCGAGCAAGAGGAGGAAAACGCCACGTGCGTCCCTCTTTTATACTCGCGGCAATCGGGGGAAAGTGTCAAAAGACCTACCCCCCTGTGTTTTTCGGAAATCAATTAAATGCGTTTAGTTAGCGATTTCTTTAAACGACCTTAATAGAATATTTTTCCGAAAAAATAACAAAACATGTTTCTTGGGTGATAAAGGCCACAGCTTTAATAATTGTTTCAATGAAAAATGTCAGACAAGCATTTAACAATCATTGGGTGCCACACACCTAAATCAGTAACGGGCGTTATGGCACCTCGCCTTCTAGGGTAATCCATAGCAAGGCGTAACAATATTTATAAATCGACTCGTAGGGTATCCCTTAGCGAGTCAGCTGGGATATGTAATTGCCTCCTAGGGGATTCCTTAGCGAGGCTACTACCTGTTATACCGAACAGGTAAGCCCACTATACCGAGTAGGGCAAAAATAATCACCCGTTATACCGAACGGCCCAGATAGCAAGACTATGTTGGGCCAACATTGGCAAAAGGTTGTATGGTTGGCGTTGGGGGAACAACGTTGGGCCAACATTGGACCAATGTTACCATGCCAACCTTCTCGACTATGACAGAATTACTATGTTGGCCCAAAGTTGGTCCAACGTTAGCAACTTCCATTCACTTTACTTCCCAAGGAAGGAGGGATGTTGATGTTGGCCCAACATTGACCCACTGTTTGTAATACACCCTTAAAGAGAGTGTCTTTTAAAGTTGGTAGTAGTATGTTGGCCCAACGTTGGCCCACTGTTTGTAATACACCCTTAAAGAAAGTGTCTTTTAAAGTTGGTAGTAGTATGTTGGCCCAACGTTGGCCCACCGTTTGTAATACACCCTTAAAAAGTGTCTTTTCAAATTGGTAGTTGTATGTTGGCCCAACGTTGGCCAAATGTTTGTAATACATCATTTATAAAGTGTCTTATCAAATTGGTAATAGTATGTTGGCCCAATGTTTGTAATACATCCTTAAAAGAAGTGTCTTATCAAATTGGTAGTAATATGTTGGCCCAACGTTGGCCCAATGTTTATAATACACCCTTAAAGAAAGTGTCTCATCGAGTTGGTAGTAGTATGTTGGCCCAACATTGGCCCAATGTTTGTAATACACCCTCAAAAAATGTCTTATCAATTTGGTAGTAGTATGTTGGCCCAAGGTTGGCCCGATGTTAGCACGAGTGTTCTTTTGTTTAGGTGTTTCAAAGATGGGATATTTATATTGGGCCAACGCTGGCCCAATTATTATACTGCCAACTAAATGATGGTGTCAGTTTCAGCTCCTGAGCTTTACGTTGGGACAACGTCGGTTCTAATTAAGTTTTAATTTAGATACACATTCTGAAATGAGGAAGAGGACATTCTATGTCCATGCTTTTAATTGGATGACTGTTTTTGTTTATATCTGATATTTTCACCATTTTAACCTTGAACTTAAGTAATCACAGCACCAAAGAGTGTTTTATTATATTTTTTGAATTTTGCACATGCATGCTTATTTATTTGAAATAAAACCCTTGAAATTATGAATTTTTTCATGCATGAGCGTTGTATTCATGAGAATTTAGAGAAGACTGAATAAGTTCTCAGGAACAAGATGTGAATGAAGCCCACATCTACATAAATCAAAATGACACAGCTTTAAAGTTAGGCGTTCGCTAAAGCTTGGAGAGTTGCACCAAACTGTGGAGTGAGCTGTCAGATTCAATTGCTCACAGGTGGTGATAGACTGAAAATGCAGGGCAAGCAAGAAGAACTGAAATTCAAATTTGTGGATTATACACTTGCTAGCTGCATTTAGAAGCGATGTAAGCATATTTTTATTCTTATTTATTCAGGTTAACTGTTAAAATTGATTTGGAATTCATTCTTTTCATGTTTTTGCACACAAGCACTGTAAGTTAAGGTTAAATAACATCTTTTAAGTTGTTTCTATCTAATTCTTAACTGTGTATTACAGACACGATTGTAACAAGGAAATTAAGGTGCACTAATAGTATGATACATCATTCTATTTATTATAAGATTTAATTTAAGTACTGTATACAGGGTTATTTTCGCCCCGTGTTATTTTCACCCTTTTGAACTTGTGAACAATTTTGCCCCGTTTTAAATTCGCCCAGTCATAGTTCTGTTTAAGAAATTATGATGTGTTATTTGAATTCGCCCCGTTTTAAATTCGCCCAATCAAGAAGAGGGCGAAAGGGGCGAAAATAAAACGGGGGCGAAAATTTCCCTGTATACAGTAATATTATTTATTCATAAGTTAGACCAGTAATTGTATTGTTTCTAATATCAAATTATTTTGTATTTTCAATCAGAGACTGCAAGGAAAACAAATGTGGCGGTAAATAAAAATAAAATCGAAGACAATGCATAAAGAAGTGTATAAAGTACGAGTACGTATGATAAAGATAAAGATGAAGAAAACGGGAGGCGACGAAGGGAGGGAAAAAAAAGAGCGGGAATACAACAAACGGACAGTGAGCCTTGATTAAGTACTTTAAATTGATAATTTGATTTTCATACTTTACCTCTATTGTCTATTTTAAAATTTATATTTGTAAATTATGATTGAATTGATGTATATAAAATATTTTCACAGTGAATCATTAGTAATGTTTTCATTGAACATGTCCATGTATGCATTATGAATGCAGATTGAATGGTGTATTAATTCTTTTAAACAGTCATAAAATAGGTTGATGTAAAGAATCACTTAACCAATTGCAAATGTTTCTATGTAATAACTACGTTGGCCCAACAATTTGCCATCAGACATTGTAAAAAAGGGTCAACATTAGGCCAACCTAACCTACCAGTTGTTAAGGTTGGCTATCAGTTGGCATACACTAAAAACTACGTTGGCCCAACAATATGCCATCTGACATTTCAAATAAAGGACCAACGTTGGGCCAACCTAACCAAACAGTTGTTAAGGTTGACTGTTAGTTGGCATACACTAATAACTACGTTGGCCCAACAAAATGCCATCTGACATTTCAACAAAGGGCCAACGTTGGGCCAACCTAGATAAATATTTGGTTAGGTTGGCTGTTAGTTGTCATACAATTATACCTACGTTGGCCCAACAATATGCCAACATGTTGGACCAACGTTGGGCCGATGAGCAAAATTACCGTGGGCCAACGTAAGGTTACCAACAATGGGCCAACGTTGGAAAAAAAATGGGCCAACGTTGGCCCAACTATGTCTTGCTATCTGGGGGGGGGGGGTACGAGGTTACTGTTATACCGAACAGATCCCTCACACAAGCTCCTAGTGCACTCCATAGCAAGCTTAGCGAGCCACCACATGCTCTACCAATCACGTAAAATAGATAATCATACATAAACAATAATTAATATAATGATGACAAATGTCTCTGCTTGTCTGACATATCCGCCACTCAGAGATGTCTATACATCTCTGCCACCCAACCAATAGAATTTAAGAGGAGATAAAAGCTTATATGGCTGATTGAAAAGTGTTTGTTAAAATTGTATTTCCCACGTCAGACATATGGACCCAGTCAGCACGGTAAAGCCCCTCCTCCGAAAACTCTATATCAGGGTGATAAACAACTCTGCCGTTTACTGATGCGACCGCCATACGAGCCGCTCTATTAACTCTTTTTCGCTTCCGTTCGACGGAACATATGTCACGACCCCCTATCCATTTTCTGCGCTGGAGTATATCAGACCATAGCATTTTGCAACTTGGTAATCTGTTTGCCATTAAACATATACAGTCAATTCTCGAATTATCGCCATTCGATTCATCGCCAATTTCGCTATACCGCCATGATTTCCCTAGAACGTTTTTCCTGCTATATAAAATTCTCTTTATAACGCCAAATTCGCATACCGCCATCCGCCACCCTGTTTTCAAAACAAACGTCCATTTTTAAGTGTCAATTATCTCGATATACCGCCACAGGAGCATGCGGTCAGTGAAGCGCGGCTAATTGGTTGACGCATGTTGTAAAGCATGCAAAGCCAGTCAAGGTACATGCAATTAAATAATTAAATTAGAATTAAATGAACAAACAATTTTAATATGAACTGTTACAATGATTTTGTACTGTTGTTTTGTTTTAAAAAAAACATTTAGTCACGGCTTCGCCACGAAAGCGGTAGTTGTAAAAGTACGCCGAATACGATATTATTCTGATGATATCTGCTTTAAACAATGCAAAGTTTGCTTAAAAATAATTATACGATATAAATGTTTAACGTTTCAAGAACAATG